TCTTTAAACGGCTGAAAGAGATTCCTACCTTTTCATGCACTTCGCAACCTTCAGGTCTGACCATAAACTGAGAATGAGCGAAAGGTAGAGGCACCGGCTTTGATTGCGATGGAGGAATGAGCATAAGTTCTACAACTAAATTTTGGTCAATGAGATCTAAAGGGAAAACTTTGACTCTTACCTTTTCCATCTTCACTACTATAAACAGCAAGCTCATGAGGTAGTTGGTTATAAATATCGATAGATGATCTTACTGCCACAACTTTCTTCCCATCCTTCTCCATAGTAACTCGGATAACAACCCTAGCCATTGGCATATTCTTCTAAACAACTCCAAGATTCAAGTAGTAAAGACCAAATGTTCATTTCACGATACCTTGCTGGCTTTAACTAGTCTAAAGTATGTGCCACAAGCATCTACATGCACTGGCGAGATCTCATCCCACCCACTCACGCGAACTATTAGCTGGCGGGGAGGCTCACGTTCAGAATGCTAAATAAGCTAAGTATAAAAATATTACAACTCAAAAACACAGCCTATCAAATCAGCTTCCGAGAGACGTAAGACAAAGAAAAACCTTCACTGAGGGAACTTACTGAATATAACAATAATCGTGCAGGGAACTCGAATGTGTGTTCCTTGCCCTTGGGAACAGTGATCCACCGCACAGTCGCTTTTCGCTGCTGGTTTCTGGCCAATTGGATGTCTTCGACAGCTGAGATAAGCAGTCAGTGATAAAATTGAAGCTATTCAATTAAGTTATTCAAATCTATCAAATCTTATTCATAATCAGTGAAAATGATTTATTCAGGCTGACCTGTGCTAAACATCACTTCACAACCCGTCTCATTTTTGAACAAATACGGTAAGTGGTCGGATCGCGATCGCACAGAAGCTTTCCTAAAGTCAAAAAAGATATATGTATCTAACAATGATGAATGGTAAAATCTTAAAAATTCTAGAAAAGGGTACCTAAAATCATCACGCTCGAAGGATGCGCGAATAGCAGGCCATCGAGACGCGAACTGTACTGCTTGCTGCATTAGCTGCTGCGTGATGTTGATATCCAAAGTACTCCTCGACTCTATAGTGAGCATTTATAACGCAAGGAAAAAGTATAGATTAAACCATAGAAGAATGGAAAAAAAACACAAATT